ACGAATCGCCGAGCGAACCTGCTGGCATCGCCACAAAGAGCGAATAGCAGAACAAGAGCATTTTTCAGGGGAATAATTTCTCCAGGTGCTTCTAATGTGCTGGGATCTTTCCGAGAAATTCTGCCTCCCACACAGTCGACGCGACGCAAGGAGTCGCAGGCATCATCTTTCCGGACGGAATTATTTTGTTATTCCTAGATGAGTAGGAGTCGTATGGCGGGATAAACATCGAGCTCGGGTCCGTGACTGACGTACACGAAGAGATAAGACCTTCTATTCCCTTCATCCCCCCGTTCGTCGTCGTCGGCGTCGCGTCGTCCTGCTCTTCAGAACAAGCTCCAAAAAACCAATTTATCCCGTCACCGCGCTTTCCCTATTCTGAGCGGAGCTCGTCGAACTCCGTCAGAAAGCTCGAGCATCTGTTGAGCGAGTTTGTGTTAAAGGCACGGCGGAATTTTCGCTTATTCTCTTGAGCGTGAATGAGGCGCACTGCGTCGTCGCAGAGCAGAGGGGTAGAAGGGCAGGAGTCGACGAGGACGCAGCTCGGGACAGCCCGAGATGCTGTCACCGTCGAGCTATTGATGCATCAATGCGTGGCGAGGTACCGCGATGATGACAGGCTTCTGTTTTGAAACTTTTTCAAAACGGTCGTCGAGTATCTCCCGTCGCGCATCTCCCCTTCCCGTCTAGCGTTCCACTCCCTTGGCTCCTCCGCTTTTTTCGCTCTTATCGACTAGAAAACTACCTCAGAACCCGGGATGGCATGTCATTCGATACCGAGCGAACAGCCGCACGGAGGCGTCTCGGAGCGCTTCACGGCGCTGGATGCCGACCGATAACCTGCTTCATTCTCGTCGAGAAATATGCAGAAACTGCGAGGTAGCAGCAGAGACATGTTCCACGAATTTCGCTCCGATTCCCGACGAACCTCGACAAGTCGAGTCATGGGAGAGCCCTAAGCTTCGCGGTCTGAAGGCCTGGGATCTCGGATCGGGTTCTTGGAAATCTGAGGATCCAGAGAGAAACTGAGACTGAGTACTGCAGACGAGTCCATCGTGCGGCGAGTAGCCAGCAGCCGATCCAGTACAGAGCTCAGGTTCCATCTGTTTCTGCTGGCCTAATGTTCCCCGGCGCTCGTAAATTTATTTGTAAATGTACGGCGGTTTCTCCTCCTTCACGGACTATCCGTTCCTGTCGTCGATTTGTCATTCTTGGGAAGGACTCACTCTGAGCATCCTCGTGGCATCCTCGCCGTCGCGAGATTCTGGGCGCGATCAACGCGAATCTATTCGCCCGTATGAGCTACCGCTGAATTTCCTCCGCTCGGATATTCGCAAGTCCCCGTTTACTCGACGGCAGCGTTAGTCCAGCTGTTTGATTCCACCAGAAGCTCAAAGTCCTTCGCCGTCTCATGAGCTCACTGAGAACTTCATCCGACAGGGAAAAACACCGGGCTGTTGTTTGGACTACCGGGCAGCAGGTGTTCTCTCCTTCCGAATGCACATTTGAGACCTCACCAACAACGCCCGGGGCTACGGTGGTTCTCTGAGCCAAAAGTGGTCACGCACAAGCCTTAACACGAACACACGTTTGAATAGACACGCTTCCCACGAACACATGTTTGGATAGCAGCTGCCACCGCTCAAATTGCGATCATACAAACTGTAGACGCCAACTTCATGCAACTTCGGTGGCTACCGGGTGAACTTCCAGACGAGTTCGATGAGCTCAATGAGGCTACGCAATACGTAGGAACCATGTGCGCTTCGACACCCACTCGACCTTTGTACCTCGAGAAAGCGGAGACGGGACGTTGCGAAATCTCGAAGCATAGAGCATGCCTCTCCGGAACGATCTGGTTATGAAGAATCGTTTCGCCGCGATTCCCTTTCGCCGAAAGTCGATATCGCTGAACATCGAAGCGAGCTGACCACAAACATTACTGCACGTCGTAAATTCTAGCGGAATGAAAACATGGTGAGAAACGACTAGAGTCTTCGTCACTCGCTAGCCCGCGCACGACGATGGGCCGAGCAGTCGAGGTGAAGAGACCAGAGACCGCTGTTTGACACGAGGCTGTCTCCTCGCGTTCGGGCTCGGTGCTGATACGTGCACTCTCCCGGCAGCCGGAACCGGAACCCGCTCCACCTCCAATAGCGACGAGCCTCTTTCGGCTTCCTTTCAGTTGCTCTGTTGAGTGGGTCGCAGTTGCTCTTCCTGAAAGACAAGAGAGGAGCGACCGACGACGGGAAAAACGCACCGAAAAGAGACTGAAAGCGTGTCGTTGCGCCACAGCGAGTTGCTGTGTCAAAGAGCAGTGGCATCCACTTTTTCCTGGACATTTGGGCCTGCACTCAGCCTGCAGGCGAGCGAACGAGTAACGAAAGCCTAGCGCGGACTTCCATGGAGAGATGTGCTCAGAGGGGAATACGGCGCAGAATGTTGAGGAAGGAATTTCTCAAGGGATCTCGAATAATGGAACTCACACGGAGGGGATTCCGGAACGCGCAAGTGCACCGAACAGCAGAACGGTATTCTACAAGAAAATTACAAACTCGATTTCGAATAACGGCACATAAATTCCTATCATGGAAAAGTACCTCCCACTCGCCCTGACCCGTGCACTCGGATAACGCCGAGACATAGCGAAGTAACGGAGAACGATTTGTATGTAGGTATATGTAGACGCAGAGGCGGAAGAACACTGAGATAAAGTCCGAGACGTCGGGGGCGAGCTAGCCCTCGATGTGGCAAAGGCTGATGGAACACGGCGCTCCGGAGACACGGGTGGAGCTCTGTCATTACAAGCCGCACGCGAGGTCCATCACCTTATCGAGACGTAATCGGGTCTGAGACATAACCACCATTTACCATACGTCCGCGACCGGAGAATTCGGCCCGTTTTTGGTGACGATAAAAAATCAGGGGCAAGAGAAGAGAACTTTGACCATGATGTAGGACACTGGCTTCTACGCCTCCGGCCCTGCTCGAACCTCATGACAAACGCGCTCGTCGACCGCCACAAAACTCTCGCGATTAGAAATTTCGAAACTGTCTGACCTAAAAGACGACCCCATCGATTGGGGTCCGGCGAAAAAGGAGGCATTCGAACGGACAGAAAATGTCGGAACGTGAGCTGACTCCCGCAAAACTTTGCAAATGTTCCTCGGAAGTTTCTGAAGCGTGGAGAGTCCTCATATACGGAGGCACGCAGTCAGCAGTCCACACAAAGTAACGAGCACACACGTATCGTCTTACTACGGCCAAAGAAACCATTGGATGCGGCTTTACGATCTTAGCCGGTACGATTTTTCCCCCTCCCCCACCGACAGAAAGGCACTACACAGACAGTATCGCTCGCTTCACCAGAGACCCATTAAATGAGTCCCTCTTCCTGTCGGGGCCCCCGCTCCATCCGCCGACGGGATAGGGTCAAGGTTCTGAAGGCCATCTGGGTAGCTTTCCGAAGGGCGGTGGAAATCGCGCGGGCCACACTCGGTCCCAGCACGGCCGGAGGGTGAAGTCCCGGGCGTTATAAGACCGCCGACTGGAGGAGTCGGGAGTTCGCGTCGCCCCCTACCCGCATGCGTGGGGGGAAGGGGAGACTGGAGCGGCTCGATAACTACTCTGTATAATCGGCTGTCAGCTGTAGTGCGGGGCTCAGCGAGGCAGTCGGGTGGCCGGCCGGCCGGCCGGTCGTCGAACGGGCGCGCTCGAGGTGGGAGTTGGACCGTGGGTGTTGTGAAAGCTCATAGCATGCTTAATATAGTTACCATTGGAGAGGCTGACGGCGGAGCCGTCTTATTCTCTCTGCAAACCAAACAGCTGCGGCCTATTGCAGCCCATTGCGGTCTACTCGCTTCCTCGGTCGGTCGATCTGTCCGCAGTTAGGGCCGGTCTACTACGGCTTGAGCGTGCGGTGATAAATCGATGCTCAAGCCCCGACGAGGCCCGGCCGCTAAAGAATCGGGAAAATTCTGACAGCCGCGCACGGTGGCAGTCTATCGTCTGGTGCCGAGGCGCCCGCCGAATTGCCCGGTAATTTGGAACTCAAACAACTGCTCCACTGACAGGTTCCCCGGTGATGCGGACCAGCGGTAGGCGGGCAGAGTGGCGGAGTGATTCCCACAGAGATTTCCTGCCACTTAGCGGGAGTCATTCGATTCGAGATTATTGGAATCGCCTCGGATGGAGCAGGACGCGTTGCGACGATTGATATTCTCCGAAGGTCTGCGAAGACGCCCCCTCGTGTTCCGCTCGGGGCCGTGAGATTCTCGTCGTCGGCATGCTTCGAATTATACTCCGGTTCTCGCATCCGGTAATAAAGAGCGGCAATGAACATATTGGAGACAGAGAAGACGTCCCCCCTCTCGGCTCTAATGAACTCCGGTTTTTTGCATACATCGACTCTTCTGTGGAATTTTTTCTTGCTGAGATCCGGTTTTTATTCCAGGGACGTTAGTCTTCGTTTGGTTGTTGTTGTTATTAATGTCGGGTGTTCGTTCCCGCGCATGTCACTTGGCTTGCGTAAGTCTCTTCGACTTTGACAGCTTGAGGAAGATTGCGTTCGCAGCTCCGTCTCGTTCCTCAAGCACACTGCAGAGACGGCGGGAGACGGTACGACTTCAGTTTATCTCGTTGTTGAGCTAAGCCTGTCTTCCACCGTGTTCCTTCTCTGAGAGCTCAGAATTCACGGGTATTTTGTCCTTTATTCTTCTACGTCCCACCCCTCGTTTGGAACTGTGCGGTAGGCAGACACTCAATCCAAAGGAAGGGAGGCTCTAGTCTCTTCGAAAAAAAGCTCACAACATAGGCTTCCCTCGTGCTCCGCTGCCTCTGAGCGATTGCAACACTACTCGGCTGCGGAGAAATCCAGCGTGAAGACTCGTCGGAGCACGCGGAGCTTGATCGGGGAGACGTTCATGATTTCGATCATCCCGGATCCGTAGCGGATCTGCTCGTCTGAGGCCCTGCTCTAATTCCGATGTCTTTCCTTACAGGGTACCTCACTCCGGAGTAAGATCGGAGCTAGGTCTCCAGGCTTCATCGGGGTGGAATATGCTTTGGAATCGACCACAGTTCTCCGTCATATTGACAACGATATTCTGTCTTATGCTGCTGAGCCATCTCCCGGCATCTTCTGAGGGAAAGCGGAGCCGAGCCCACGCCAAAAAAAACTCTGGAAATTCTCGTTACGCTCTCTTCAACCAGAACAAGCACAAGGATCACTATGACAACCCGAATGTGAGTGGGAAACATGCGATCGAGTCGAGGTATCCGATACGCCATTGCGAGTTCTGATCTTGAATACCGATGTATCTCAATGGAGACTCCAATCTTCGGGAATTCGGCCATGCACACGAGCATGAGATTATCCAGTGTGAGAAAACGAGATGAAGCGTCGATCGCCGTATATTACCCGGAGTCAGCATAATTCTGAGGATCACGGGGGTCGGATACCCTCGTCGCGGGAAACGTGAATTATTTATCGCCGGACTATTCTGCCTGGCGCATATGAGCGAGCTTGCCTATTTCCACGGACTCGTTGGATTTTTCTCATTATTCGCCCACTGGCCGTTCGTTCACGGTTCTCTGCTCCCGATCAGAGTCATGGTCCAGCCTTTACGGGACGCTGAACGTAGACTCGACTGTTGCCTCCTGTGTTCGCTTCCTGGAGCGCTGCAGTGAATCTAAAAGCTGACCGTCATGATGGTGTCCGGGACGCGCATTTAGATGACCTTATTATCGAGGGCACAAGCTCCGGAGGGGCACAGTTTGTTGATCTTTTTCTTTCCCGAAAGCCCGAATCCTTGGAGTCCGGTGGGGGAAGAATTCTCGCTCGCCTCGACGGGTTTTCAGAGTCGCTCACATCGCTTACCCGACCGCTCACTTCACTCGGTTTTTCGCCGCTTGCAATCGCCGACCGTAGAGCTCTCTTCGAAAAAATTTGTGCAGCTGCGACCGGTGGCCTGAAATCATCGAGAAACTCTTCAGGGAATCCACCAGTTCGGAAGCCGACTTGGGTCCACACCGATGCCGCCGCTGCGTGGAACAACGGCGCGGGGAAGGAAGAAGAGCAAAGCCGCGAGCTTTATCCTAAACGCATCGTTTCCCGCTCCCATTCGGAGAGCATTGTGTCTTGGAGCTCGTTTCCTTACGCAAACACGCTCATCATCGTCGCTCTCCTCCTCAAGCCATCGGTCGGGTGTGCGCAGCCTCGGTTACAACAATAACACGGACGGAGCCGCATCGGAATCTTATTCTCAATGCCTCGAGGTCGTTGGAGCTTGGCGAGATAAGGGGCATTAGCAAGCAGCCTAGCTCGCTTGCAAGCCCCGCAAACACCGGACTCCGACTGGCACGAGGGTACCGCCATGCGGGGTGAGGGTTGCCGTCGTCGGGGCCGGAACCGGACGGAGTTACCGATGTCGTCGGGGCGAGCGAGGCCATGCTGGCGTCCCGAAACCCCTAAACCAGAGACGATGTTTTGCTGGAATCCGATATTGGTTGTTTTCGCCGAAAGACAGTGCTGGCAAGCGTTCAGGGAGCCTCATTACGGAGAACGGCACCGCGCGGGAACCGCCTCGCAGCCGGCATTCCAGTCTCCCCGACCACACGAACCCGCTTCGAGCGATGCCCTACCAAATCTACCACACGATTTCCTCGTGTAAACACGGGAACGGGGCGGAGCGAGTCGACAATTTCCAATCGTTGACTGCCATAAGGAATTTCGAGCTCTCGGAGTTCGACCCGTTCAACTTCTTCTCGATCGCGGCGAGAGAACCATGAATCATAATTACAGTTTTTTTTTCTCTTCACTGCCTTAGTAACGGCGGGATAGGGTATCAGCGTCGTTGCTATTGCTTCTTCACAATGCAGTCCTGACCCACCTCTAACCTCAACTACTGGGAACCTCAATCTCGCGACTAGAAATATCCGCCGGCCTCGGGGATTGAAGCCGGCACCTCTCCGACGATGGCGGCGTCAACAAAGCGCACGGCTGCATGCGACGCACGCGCCTATAGGCTTCGAGAGAATAATTATTGAAAATGATTCGCGAACATCATGAAGAAATGATCGTTCCCTTATATCTCTCATGGCTTGGAATTCCGCTTATCTCGATGACGTAATCGTTGCACAATTGTGACTTAACACGGTGTGCCTCGAAGGCAGGCCCGCGATCCGCTCACTTCTCAGAGATTGCGGAGGAATCCTCAATAGAGTCTGTCGACACGGAAAACGATGTTCGGATAGATCTGGCGTCTACATACATCTCTCTTCGGCGGAGCTACACGGCTTGGTGGTTTGTGGCGGATTTCCTCCCGTCAGTTGCTCAGGTTTCGGCCTGTCTCCTCTTATTATCTGCTCTCGTTCCGCTTCTTCTTCGCGTCTCTTTCAGGAGCACGCCCTCCTCTATCAAACTGATCGATGGCGTGAAATAGGCGGACGCTTCTCGCAACCGCACTAATGATGTGCTCCGCGTAGCACGCAACTGACCGACACTACTTTCGACTAGATCCTCTGCTCCCCTCCCAAGCTGTACCGCCTTTGATCCGTAGAGCCCCGGACCGGGAAGATCCAGTTCGGACGTATCCTCCTCTCCATGATTGTTGCGCAGTGAACGCACCGCCGTCACCAAGCGAGTCGATTCGAACGCATGGCATCCAGGAAGAATTCAGACTGAACTCCGATTCCTGATCCGATATTCTGGTATCGGATCAGAACGGAAAACCAGTACCGTGACGGCCTCCGACGAATTTTCACGTGGGAACTGATGCATTTTTGAGACGTCGTCTTTCACGCCTCTGTTCGAAAATGGCGATTCCGAGCTCGGTCGATGCGGACACTATCACGAATCTGGAGCCATTAGCTATTACCAATCAGGATCTTATCAAGCGGGTCTATGGGGCTAACGAGAAGTCCCAGATCGCTCCGCCGAGCTCTACCGGAACCTCGGTGAACCCCCGAGCGCCGTTTACCCAATCGGCATTCGAACCCGGTCTTAATCAATCGCCGTGCGCTACGCATACATTCGAACGTGGCCTCGATCTAATCGCGTCCCTGCGGTCCCGACATCCGAATTCTCGGTGGTGAAGCTTCCGAAGCAAACAATAAGATAGGAATCCTCTGACGGCTCTCCATTGTGTCCTCTTTAAACCAGACGAGCTCTCGCATCCAATACCAGCATGACTAAAATAGCGCGTAGAACCGTTCCGCGACCCAAGAGAGGACTGTTCCGGTGTTCAACATAACTTTTCAAAATGTTCGAGCCATGACAAGGTGTACACAGGTGGCATCGCTCACCCGCTCGGGGCCCGTCAGTCGCAGTGGGTGGAAAATGAACATCGCTCCGAATGAAGATCGTGGGGTTTGATTGACGAACGTGATGCGAATTTCAGAAGAGCGATGGAATTAGGGATGGTGCTCGTCCTCGTGGCGGTATGGAGTATTGCTGTTCGCGAGGCCACGCCTCAAATGCCATCATTTCCCTCGCCTGAGAGCTGCGGAAGCCAAGACAGCGATTTCGAAGTTGGTTTGCGACAAGGAGAGAAAAATATGAGGTCAACGAGTTCTCAAAGCATTGAGTAAGGGTTTGAGTTCGTCAGTCCGATTCGGAATACTTCAGCAGGTGTCTCGTTGATGAGATGGCGGTTTTCCATCGACCCCGGGTTCCTTACTCTGTTTTGCTCGTCGTTCCTTGTCACTGGAGATACTCATGAGATTCCGGTTGATGACCACGGTCGCTCGACGACGAATGTCCCCCTTGCAAGTAGCCCTGATGCGCTTGTGACTGAGTGCGTGTCCGAGTGTTCCTATCCAGGGAAGTGCATGAATGTGGAACAGGGGAACTACTCAGACGCTCTTCTGCTTCGTGATTCGGCGAGAGAGAGGGTGTCAACGCGGTGCAAACATCTGCCAAGCTTGTCATCCAAGAAAGATCACCATCACCCGTTACCAACACCTGTCAGAGAAACAAAGACTCCTCAAGAAACGACCACGACAACAACGGGGAACAAGAGCTGCGCAGCTGCTGCATCGGAAGGAGCAACAAGCCGCATGCAGCCTGGAGCGCAGGAGGAATTCCTGAGACCGGAAGAGCAACGTGGCCAAGTCGTGGTCGCGATTAATAAATTTTCCACTCGGGAATCGTCCCTTGCCGTTTCCGTACACCTCGTATCCCGCTCAGAGACCAACGGGTCGGAGGTGTCCGGGTCTATTCCTCTATTTGGCCGAATTTCGTTCGAGTCAAACGGAGGGTGACATGATCTCGGTTCGAAGCGTCAGCAGGAGCCCGGGGTCAAGGATCTGTAAATTGCCTGAGAATATTCCTGTCGTCTAGGAGGAAGCGTCCAGACTCTCCGCGAAGGCCTCGGGAACGCTGACTAGTATTGGCTGAGGTGATGGTCGTCGTCGTTTTTGCCTATATAGTTGGCAGGTTGACATACATTAGTTTCCCACCGAGTTTCACGGGGTTTTCCCTGAATTCTGAAGGGCCCGGATCAAACCTGGAGAGCTGTATTGATTCGCGACCGCGATGAGAAAAAAAATCGGTGGATTGAATCGTCTCCAATGATCACCAGCGCGTTCCTACGTGTTTTCGATGCACCGCTCGCCCTCAAGACAATTTTCCGATTCCGCCGGGCGAAGAAACATAAAAATTAATCCCGACATCCGTGCCTCTGGCGTGCTCGAGGCTCGGGATACAATCGCGATCAAATGACCCTGATTCTCGTCGTGCGCTCCCCCTCGGATGAGTTAGTATTATTACGCTGGCGAACGATGATTCTCGCTAATGTACAGCATCGATTCCTTTCGTTGCAGGGCGCAGTGATAGAAAAAGCCTCGCACTTCGATTATGAGTTTTATCTCGGACATAAAATCGTCTTCGTTTGCGTTGCTCGAGGCTTCCCGAGACCAAAGATCACGTGGTTCAAAGACGGTATCGAGATTTTTGGCCACCCCTATGTCCAGGTATGTTGGAAGGATGTTCAGTCCCCTCGGAGGAGGAACAAGTTGCGTGGGTCAGCGAGGAGTTCTGCAGGCGAATGAGCCCCCCAGACTCCCTTTGGATAGCCACGCCTTGCCTTTCCAAGGGGCCTCTAATGATTTTCCTGTGATGACGATCTTCAAGATGAGACCTTGGTTTTTTTCTCAAGTCGGACTTCCTCCCACAGATCTCAGAGTGGCTCCGGGATGAGAGACGGATCAAATCCAAACTTGAGATAGATCCTGCCCGCCAAATGGACTCGGGGAATTACGAGTGTCAGGCAGACAACAAGTATGCCATCGACCAAAGAACATTCCGAGCTGACTTCTCTTCCCTGACGAGTTAAATTAGCGTGTCGCGCCGCCGACGAGAAGCGCGACATGTTCACGGAAGAACAGACTTAATGGCTCCCACTCCGTACCCCGACCTCACGGAGAAACTTCCTGGATCGTTCCCCTGCACTGTCGAGCTCTAATTCAACTTCTCGAACGTCGAGCGACTCGACTTCATCACAATGTGAAGGGGATTCCTCGATTGGAGCCGCGTGGAGCATCAGAATACATCGTCTTCTTCTCGGAGAGTCCGGTATCTCGGACCTCAGCATCCGGAGGAAACGACTCAGAACTCGAGTCAGAGCAATGAAATTTCAACTTGAGGGGCACCGCTTGTGAGACAGCAGACCGCATCAACTCGGATCACTCGTGTCAGATTATGGTTGTCACAAACGACTTAATCCCAGAGGAATGAAATATACTCCTTGGCGCGGGCATCTCAGCCTGCTCGTTGAAGCCGCGAATAAGCGAAAGATAATAACCTCATTAACATCAACTTTTTATTAAGATGGGGAGGTATCTTTTTTATGGAGAATCACCATTATAATCCCGAGAGATCATAGCGAAGCAAACAACCGGGCCAATAAACTAACGCACACAGAAGACGTCGCCTGCGAACCATCGCGGCGACCCCGCCATACGTCAGACGACTCGAGGAAATTTCTGGGAATGAATGAAGAAATAATAATAGGTTCAATGCTACAATGATCCGTCGTTGGTCCTGCCTAGAGCCCATTGCCAGTGAAATTCTCGGACTTGGTCCGGCTTCCCAACATTCGGAACCGCGGATTCAGCAATCCAAATCAGGGAGGGCTCTCTCTAATCTGGCATCAGATCACTTGGCTCATATCGAGGCTTACGTTCCATAATCGTTGCGAGCAGCGGCAAATGATCAATCTTCGTGTACATATCACTGGCCATCCGAAAAGACTTCTGAAGCTCGATCATGACTGGAGTGTTGTGGGCGCGGCGCCACGCCGGGGCTCGAGTTCCTGAATCGCGATTCGAAGACAACGCAAGGGAAGTCCCCAGACCGACTCATAGTAGGATAATTTCAATCGGGTGAGCCAGGTTGCCCCATACTCTGGGAAAGCATACACGACTGGACACGACAGTTGAAAAATTCGACAGGATAACCAAAAAGACTTGCGATAAATGGCGATCTGGAACCGACTCTCTGAAAAGTACCCATCATGATCGAATACGTGACGTCGCGTGGCATGTATAGCGGAGACGGGAGGGAAGCGTGAATCATATAAGTACTCAAGTTAGATTGAATAAAAGTACAGGTGTTTTGTGAGACGAAATGAGCACGGACTCCTAAATGACTATTGAATCAACAGCAGGATAGTCAGGTTGGGGCGGAAATGAATCTCGGGCCCGGCAATCGATTTGCGTTTCAAACACTGGTGCTAGTGAAATCCGATGCTTCTCGAGAGGCTGGAGGGAAGACGGATTTCCAAGGAGCAGAACGCGATCGGGAACGGAGTGGATCGCGACGAGAGCACGGAGCGGGGTTGAATGATTTGCGCCTCGGCGTATTTTTAGGTCCGCTCGCTGGGGTGGGAGGTGAGGGCCTAATGTTTTATCTCGTTTTTGCTCTCGGTGCTCGCAATGAGAGCTTTCGCTCGCTCACCCCATATACAACATTAGGGCAGTCCAAAGTAGATATTTCCATTTGCGCGGTCGTCGTGGCTGCCATGACGGCCCGGAAACTCATATTTACTCAGCCAGGCGGAGGAGGAATTCTCCATTAGATAGGCTTCCGCAACTCGGCCTGCCCAACGGATGTCACGATCGGAGTCATTCTTGAGTTTTTCCTGGATTGGGAAAAATTTCACCGCCGAAATAGGCTTCCCTTCTTCAGTGTTTGCCCCCCTTTTCACGAGAGCTCACGCAGGCTGGACGAAGATCGTGTCGAGGCGAGTCGACATCGCAAGAAAATCGGGCTGGCCATGTCCGAATTCGAAACCTATCGATGCTCGCCGTGATGGAATTCCTGATGTATGTGGAGCCTCGTGGGTGAAGAACGGGGGATCCAGATGGAGAGGAGCGGGAAAAAGCGAAGGGAGTGGGAATCTCGAGGTATTTCAAAAAGAGCCCAAGAATATTTCCCTCCGAACCCCGTTCCCTTTCGATCCGCTCCGTCATCGAAATCATTTGTGTCCGCGTAAATTATCTCTAAAAAGCTTCCTCATGGTATCTAATGAGAAAAATACGCTCTCTGGCTCCTCTTCTGACGCGCGATCTGATTCCTTTCCATGATGTGATACAGATCGAGGTTTTCGGCTATATTCTCAAACCATACGGATATCGAAGCAAGTTCTCCTCTATCCCATCTCTCCTTTAACCCTCATGTCTGACTTTTTCCGCAGGCCTGATTGTTTCGAGGAGGATCAAAGGGAAAAACACGGGGTATGTCGAGGGTATAGAGTATCTTCGTACCGAAACTCGATCCTCCAGGATCCTTATCTTTTGAGGTTCGGGGTCGCAGCCGCCGGAAAATCCTCAAAGAAGCCGACAACTTCCCCTGCTTTGTGCTCTCCGAGAGAGAAGACGCTTGAATAGCTCTCGAGCTATAGAGTCGAAGAATGGAATTATCGTCACCTCTCAAATCTTATCATAAACTCATCAATCGCGGAGGCGCGACGCAAGAGCGACGTGGAGTGTCTTCCTGAAATGCCGGACCCCATCGGGAATAATCACCCCTCCGGACACCATAGCTAATTCCGCTTGAGACAAGACTAAGCCTATGCCTTACTTAGGAGCGAGACAGACAAAGAGACTCATACGCTAGGCATGACACTGATACCCGATCGCCGAGGCTCGAGTGATTATTCAACGAATCACTCGGGGTATATGTAGGTCCCGCATGTCGAGAGGAATGAAGGCATCGGAGCACTCCCAAGTCTCCCTCTGCCGCAAGAGCTCCACGGAAAGAGGAAACTTGTGAAGCTTCGAGAAATTTTCGAGGGAAGTCCAGCTTCAAGACCGAAACGTCCAGTCCTGCTCTGACAAGCCCAGATTCCCAGCTCTCAGTAATGGGTCAGAGCGTGTTCCGCGGCGATGCGTCGTCCAATTGGCTGGTTCGCTGCGATTCCCTGGAAGAGAAGGTGGGCGAGGAGATATAGGAGTTCCTAGATTGGGGAAGAAGATCAGCAACTCTAGTAACTTGAGATTGAGGACTCAACAACGCCACGGGGGAGAGAACAGCATCTTTAGCCCGAGAGAAACGACCGTGGACAGCGTCTACCGTCAGTAATAGGTATAACGACGTCATTTTAGGCTATTAGGGACTATGCCGCGGCCACTATAGATAAGGCCTAATATATGCGTTGCTTGGCTGGCGTCTCATAATATAAATTGCCCAGGAGATAGCACCGATGGAGCCTTCTTCAGTGATGGTCAACGACGAGCCGTCGGGCTCAAAACTCCTCGACCGCATCGGATCAGGTACGTCGGTCCGCGCCCATCATCTTGTCCATTGATCTTGCTCTCGCTATCCATGGAGTAATAATAATTCCAGGTCAAACCTCTTCGTAGCTAGTGGCCGAAGGAAGCTTTTCGTGTAGATACGGGGTAGACTCAGCGGTGAGCCACACCGCATCGTCGAGGCAAACATCGATCCGGAGGTGAATCCACGAGCTCCTAGCCGAAAAAAAGCCAACTCATTTTTAAGGACGAGCTGCTCTCTGAACGAGTCCGCCCGCGCGAAAACGACCCCGGAGGGAGCATATCGCTCCACTCCGCAGACCAGGCTCGGTTTTGGATGAAAAGCTGAATAAATTTGGCGTAATTCTCTCCGACGGGCCGACGCTTAATGTCTTCGGCCGCAGTCTGCACAGTGTTAGAGGAGCCGCGCAGAGCGCCGGGCTCCCAGGTCTCGACCCTGAATAAGTCCTCTTCGATTATGAAGAGTCCTGCCATTGCCACCGAGGAGAGAAGCAACTTGGTAAATGGCGGAGAGGTGAGCAGAACTCGCGTGGATCCAGCTCGTCCCTATGGCCGACGGCGATGATCCATTCGTTCTCTGTTAGCTCGCACGCCCACCCGCCCGGCCGACCGTCCGCTCCCATTGCTCGCTCGTGAAGCCTCGAGCAGAACATCCCTTCGGTGAGGTCCTCTCTGTCCGTAGCCGGAGACTCTCGAGACGTCCTGCTCCCCTTGTCTGTCAGAAGCATTCATGGGAAGACTCCTGGATGAGTCGAAAAGTTTCCCCCGACGAAGTTAGCCGATCGCGAGTCCGCATCCCATGACCGACAGTCGAGAATCACGATGGGAATTTCCCCTCCGCGTGTTTGCACGGGGCATCCACAGTGATTTCCACCGTGCGACTCTTCATCTCTTAGTAAGGAAATAATCGAGCTCGGTCTGTCCCCTTCCTGAGATCCCGTTTTTTTCCCTATTCGTGCCCCTATCTTGACCTCTAGACGTCAAATAATGTCCACTTCGAGGGATTGTTGCTCAACTGTTACTTACTTGTCGATCATCGTCAAGCGAACGCGTCCATCCAGAACGTTTTCTTCTCTGCCGAAAACGACCCGACCACTACCTCTCTTCGCTGCGACCCGTCCATGTCGGGCGAGCTCAAGGGTATGGAGCAACATGTAAACAGCCAGATTCTGGTCTTCTTCCTACCCCGCCGTCATCCGAGTATCGCGGAAGAAAGTTTATCGCGCACTAACTAAGTCGAGCGATAAAGTTCACTCAGAGGAGCGGACGAAGAAAGATAACGCATCGATGAGAAGGAAAACAGACAGACCTCGCTGTAGAGGCGCCGATCAGGCCATCGCCGCCTGCGCGACAGTTCCTCGCCGCGACGGCTGCAACAAGTGTAAATATAGGGAAGTTCGAGCCGTAGCGCGAAAGTTCATGGGATGGCTGTTTGATTAAGGACATCGTTGTTCTCAAAGTTCGAGAGTTCTCTCATCACAGCGATTTTCCGGACCAGCGAGAGTCCTCTCGAGAATGCTCTGCGAGACTGCGAGAGCTCTCCTGGAGATGTCGCTCTGACTACGAAGCATCACTTCTCTGAAACCTAGATGATACAACTGCTGGTGGTCGGCGGCGGCGGCGGCAGCAGAAGTATACGAACGAGGCTGCAATTACAGAGAATGACTGGACCGACACAGGACGGGCCAGTCGACGCGGCGGCGGGTCTACCCGACGAATTTGCGACATAATTCGCTCTAATGAGACCTGTCTGTCATC